ATTGAGGATTATACCTGGCACTTAGCAGGTGCTTAATAAGTGTTTTGGGGTAGTTGTTCATTAGTGAGCATAAATGGAAGTCTCCACTTTGCCTGTGTATTTAGCTTGCTGACTCTGGAACCCATTGAGACTAGCAGCAAGCGCAAAACCGACAACCAACAATCAAGGTCCAAGGAGAGACGTGAAAATTTAGCATGAAAACTTCTATAGAGGGGTTAAGGAGTTACAAAAGTAATGTAATCAGAATTTATGTGGCTCTTCCTACTTAAGGGAAAGGCAAGGCAAGGAAGCAGCCATTCTGTCAGTCTCTGTTCACTTGCTGGAGATTGAGGATACCTTTGTATATATTTTGGAAAATTCTTTAGCATATCAGAAGGTTATCTGCAAAGGATTGAGAATGAAAATGACATTAGGTTTTTCATTGACATCACTGAATGGCCGAAGACAGTGGGCGTAGTTTACGTAGTTCTTAGGGAAAAGGGTTGTGACCAGGATTCTAAGCTGTGGAATTTATGCAAGAGCTTCAGGCTACTAAAATGGAGATGGAGAGTTAATCACTTACGTAATCCTTTCAAAAACTTTCTTTGAAGTATTGTGATTACACCACAAAATTAAGGATTCAAGGGTAGTTAGGTTTGATTGATTGCTTTGACAGAGTCAGGAGTTTAGTGTGATCTTGAATATACCTGGTGGGAAAGCAAAAGTTTTACTATTGGCATGTTGAAGGGCTTGCACTGTTTTGGGGGATCTTGCACTTTATTTTTTCTTTTCAAGACGGGCTCACTCTTGCACAGACATAGCTTGCAGCCTTTACCTCCCAGGCTCAGATGAGGCTCCCATCTCAGCCTCCCAAATAGCTGGCTCTACAGTGCATGCCACCACACCCAGCTAATTTTCTGCATTTTTTTTTTTGTAGAGATGGGGTCTCAGTATATTGCCTAGGCTGGTCTCAAACTCCTGGGCTAAAGTGATCCTCCCACCTCAGCCTCCCAAAGTGCTGGGATTACAGGTATGAGCTACCATACCCCATGTATATGCTAATTTTTAGCTTGGGTGGAAGCCTCAAAATAAAGTGATTTAGCAAGTGTTGTAATTTGCCTTGAACACATTTGAATTAGGATTTGCCTTTCCTCTGTGTCATCTTCTTTCGACAGCAGTTTTCCTGGGTGTCCCTCAACTCTAATATAATCTTTCTAGAACTATTAATATAACTTTTCTTCTGTAGTTGCAAAGTTTTCAGAATTATCTTCAGGAAAAATGGAGCTTTTAGGAAAATTTTTTAAAGAATTATTGCTTTGCTACAGTTCTGGAAACTAGACTGTTTATTGTACTCATAACAATGTGTAATTTTTTTTAACTTTTGGCATTTTAAGCTGTTGAATTTTTAAGAGACTTGCCTTAATTTTATCATTATGTAAGAAGCAAGTAAATCTTAATGGAAGCAATGTTTAATTAACATTTTAACTTAAAACTTTTTTTTTTTTTTTTGAGATGGAGCTTCGCTCTTGTTACCCAGGCCTGAGTGTAATGGCGCAATCTCGGCTCACCGCAACCTCTGCCTCCTGGGTTCAGGCAATTCTCCTGCCTCAGCCTCCTGAGTAGCTGGGATTACAGGCACTTGCCACCGTGCCCAGCTAATTTTTTGTATTTTTAGTAGAGACTAAAAATACAAAAAATTAGAGACTAGGGGTTTCACCATGTTGACCAGGATGGTCTTGATCTCTTGACCTCGTGATCCACCTGCCTCGGCTTCCCAAAGTGCTGGGATTACAGGTGTGAGCCACCCCGCCTGGCAACTTAAAACATTTTCTACATAATACCTGCCACAATGTCGAAAGAATTTGGAAAGCACCCTTTTAATCAGAAGGCATTCTGGAAACAAGAAAAGTCTTAAGTGTTTTCAGTGGAGGAGTTTTATTTAAGATTTCTAATGCAAAGAGCAAATTTGTAATCTGATACCTACAATTTTATTTTATAATACTTTATTGTTTCTAAGAATAATTTTTGTGTTACTAGGGGTGGGTAGTGATAATTGCATCCTATCCGTTGTTGTTGTTACTGTTGTTTTGAGACTGAGTCTTGCTCTGTCACCAGACTGGAGTGCAGTGGCACGATCTTGGCTTACTTTAACCTCCGCCCCCTGGGTTCAAGTGAGTCTTTAGCCTCAACCTCCTGAGTAGCTGGGATTACAGATGCATGCCACCACACCCAGCCAACTTTTGTATTTTTGTAGAGACAGGGTTTCACCATGTTGGCCAGGCTGGTCTTGAACTCCTGACCTCAGGTGATCCGCCGGACTTGGCCTCCCAAATTGCTGGGATTACAGGCATGAGCCACGGTGCCCAGCGCTTTTTTGTTTTGTTTTTTATTAAGAAAAAAATGTCTTACTTTTTGCTCATTTTGACTGTTTTCACAGTTGTTAATCAGACTAATCCTTATAAAGCAGTTTATTGTCCCCTTTGGAGAAAATATAGCTAAAAATCACCAATGTCCTAATACAGATAACTAACTCATTGGTCTGATGTTGTAGTCCTCTTGATTTTTCACCCCATTCCTCCCAACTATGTTCTCTTTGTAATTTTGTTTACAGTATATTATGACTTTTTTTCACATCTGACTATATTTCTCCATTTTAAACTTTTATAATTTATAAAAGGAAGCAAAGATTGCCACATGGAATTGAGAATAAAAGTTTATCTTTCTACTGTAAGTATGCTAAAGTGGTAAAGCAATGGCTGAATGCTCTGAAATTACTAAGGCAACTTTAAAGGCTGATTCTTTTTTTTTTTTTTTTTTTTTTTGAGACGGAGTTTCGCTCTTGTTACCCAGGCTGGAGTGCAATGGCGCGATCTCGGCTCACCGCAACCTCCGCCTCCTGGGTTCAGGCAATTCTCCTGCCTCAGCCTCCTGAGTAGCTGGGATTACAGGCATGTGCCACCATGCCCAGCTAATTTTTTTTTTTGTATTTTTAGTAGAAACGGGGTTTCACCATGTTGACCAGGATGGTCTCGATCTTTTGACCTCGTGATCCACCCGTCTCGGCCTCCCAAAGTGCTGGGATTACAGGCTTGAGCCACCGCGCCCGGCCTAAAGGCTGATTCTGAAATGTTTTGATTTAGATTGACATCTGCTTAAACTATATACCAAACTAGGCTTGAGACATAGGCTTTAGAAAGTGTAGGTAATAGTGCATTTTTATTGTTTTGGATTTTTGCCAATTTTGGATTCTATAGGCTTGTCTTCAGGTACTTCTGTGAACTTTTCAGCTCTTTGTAAAACTAGTGTAAAAAAATTAAATGGTGATTCTACCTAGTTGAGAATTAAGGTTTATTGTGGTAAAAATTAAATGGTGGTTGATTCTTGGCAGGTATGTTTGATAACCTTTGGAAGCTTAAGGCATCTTTTGGAGTGTGTGTCTTTGAATCTACAAATTCTAGGTCTCTTGACTAATTGATGACTTTGAGGCAATTAACTCAAGTCTCAACTGAAAATTTAAATATTCTGGAATATGTACCACCCATGATACACATAAATTACCCACCTCAATCTAGACAAAAGCCACTTGAGGCTGGAAACAGTCCAGTTTTACAGCTGAACAAGTGGTGGAGCCTGGGTTTGAATCCAAGTGTTGATAACTGTAGAATGCTTCTAGTTTTCTGACTTAATTAAGTGGAGAGGCCTGTCCATAGATCAGTGGTTTTCAGACTGTTGTAAGGCTTTGTACACATCTTTTGGAGTTTGGCAAACAGTGAAATATCTTTTGCTTGAGAAGTAGTCATCTTTTTGTTGTATACATTTTGGTTATTTTATAATTCTGCTTGGAAGAGTTTCTTCATCTAAAATATTTGAAGTTTTCTGCTCTAGGGAAATTTAAGATCTGTTGAATGAATAAATGTTAGGAAATAAAAATACAGACCGGGCATAGTGGCTCACACCTGTAGTCCAGCACTTTGGAAGGCATGACAGGTGGATCATGTCAGGCCAGGAGTTCGAGACCAGCCTGGGCAACATGGGGAAGCTCTGTCTTTACAAAAAATATAAAGAAAATTAGCCGAATATGGTGTCGCAGGCCTGTGGTCCTAGTGACTGGGGAGATTGAGGTGGGAGAGGATTTCGTGAGCCCAGAAGACGTAGGCTGCAGTGAGTGGAGATTGTGCCACTGCACTCAGACCTGGGCAAGAGTGAGACCCTGTCTCAAGAACAACAAAAAACTTGTCTGTGGGGTAGACTGTATCTATTTTCAATCATATTTCTTTTCCTAATACTGTTTTGTGTAGCCTATATTGTAAAATGAGGTTGAGGTGATTGAACACACTGTTAATAGAGTGAGGAAGTGGTTAGAGTTAAAATTTCTTGCTGAAAGTGGGTAATCTGCAATTCCCTGCATTGGGTTGACTCCTCTCAGCCAGCTCTTGCTGCATTTAGAGGCTGCCCTAAGCATGATGTAATGACAGGTTAAACCTCTGCACGCACTAGCTGATGCAATGCAAATCTGAGGCCCAGGACTTTTATTGGGGCACGGGTAATGCTTGTTTAAAAACAAAACAAGCTACTCTGCGTTTAATGAGGCCATTTAAGATGGCTTTCCCAGAGTGGGAAGAGAGTATACTCTCTTAGGAGGTTTAAGTAGGAGTTTAATGTGGCAGAAGTATGCTTACTACTTTTCCTGCAAAGTCTTTTCGCAGCGGGGAAGGGGAGTTTAAAATACATTGCCGATAGGAGAAGTGAAGTGAGCTAGAATTGGGGAAATTAGTAGTTGATGCCAGTAAATAGCTGTTGAATGAATTAGGGAGAATGTTTTCACTCTAAAATTTTAGAGTTCGGATAAACCTGGAGCGTAGCGCCAGTGTGGCCACGCATTTCCAAGCTGTAGCTCTTAAATTTGAAACTGTAAGAAACTCCTGATATTCTACTGTTCCGACATTCCGAAAACGGCATGGTTCCACCCAACTTTAAACTGGTGGAAATGCTGAGGAAGGCTCGATGTCGCTGGGGTGTGGTGGTATGCGGTCCATGGTGGGGTGGCGCGGTGGCGCGGGGTCAGAGCTGCGGGGTCCCGCGGCCCCGCCCTGGGCTGTGGGGCGGGGCTTGCGGGCAGGGCCCCACCTCTGCGCGAGCGAGACGGGCACCGCCCTGCACGCCGCGCGCCCTGGACTGGCCCTTGGCTCTCCGGGTTGGAGCGGGCGTTCCCGGCGCAGGCCCATCCCCAGCTGGCCGAGGCTCCAAATGGCTCTCCCAGCAGGCGGGCTCCTGCAGTAGCCCCTGAGCTGGCTCAGGGAGCGCACTTCCTTCTCAGCTAGCGGGTCACCTCTCCACCGGAGCCGAGCAGGAGCCTACCCAGTGAATCTGGAGAAGACAAACTTGGGAGACAGACGAAGGCTCAGGGCACGGTGGAGGACAGCGCAGCTGTGGCTCCCATTTTTGGAGATGCAGCCGAATTTGAGCTCACAGGGAGGTGTGGTTGCCTCCTGGGGATGGAAAGGCTTCCTTTTCCCACCTCTGTAACTGGTGCTCTGAGAAGTGAAACGATATTTGGATCCTGACCTCAGACGCGAATTTGGGTCTTTTGTGCCTAGGAGCAGAAAGTGCCCAGGAGGGTCCTGTACGTTTACTTCTTGGGGAAAAGGCAGTGAGTTGCCTGAGTTCTCATGACGGGAAAGCCTCTTCCACCTTCTCTGTACTCCTGGAGGGGAGTCTTGTTCACATGTTTACCAGCGACTAGGACAAGGAAGAGAAAAGGTACTGACATTAGGAGGATGGGTTGCTGAGGCTGTGAAACTTGAACGCTGTTAGTGGAACCTGCCTGACTTACGGAATGGCTGCAGCAGAATCGAGCTGTTTCCTAGGTTAGCAGTCATGTTTCATTTGGGCAGTTGTGCTTTTTTTCTGTTTAAATCAAACTTCAGGTTACGTCATGACTTCTGCAGGGCTGTCCTTGGTTCCTGCTGCAGGGCGGCTGTGTGGTTGGGATTTCTTTTCTGTTTCAAGATGGAGCTGGTTTCCACCTTTGGAGCTTTGAGAGGCTTTAGCAGTTGCTGTCCTGTATACCTCCATTCACAAGAACTCCTGTTCACATTTCGCTTTTCACACTGAGTAAGAGTTAAAATGTGCTTTCTACCACAGTGTTTCGAAAATGATAAAGATATATTGTAATGTGAGCCTGAACTGTTGATGACAAATGTATAACTATTGCTAGGTCAAGAAATTGAAAAATAATGTTTTGCTTGGTCTGTAGCTGTGTTGTGTTAAATATAAACTGAGTTTACTGCCCTTGGATGTGATTCTCTGGTTTTGGTTTAGTAATTTGAAAGGCATTGGTTGCCTAGATTGTTTTGTGCCCAAGGAACCACTTTCTAATTGTTATGCTGCTTAATTCAGTAAGCAGCATAAACTGGACCATGCAGTAGGCATACAGCATACAGCCAGGATGTTTTGGCAATGCTGAGCCCACTGTTTTACAAGTGACATAAAATGGATGGATCATTGTATGTACAAAGAATCCACTCAGGGAAACTGGATTACAGGAGAGTTCCTTTATAGTCCTTTTGTTAGAGGACAGAACACCTGGGTCACACAGGGCTTCAGATGAGAGTTGATTCATGTTCTGAATCTATATGATGAGACACATTGTGATGGAATTGTCACTTTTGTTGCCTCTTGAACTTTAATTAGTGATGTGAAAATAATCTTTATTTTTTTCCTTCACCCTTAGCCTTCATTTAAGGTATCAGTTGGTAACCACCTGAGTAATCTAGAACCCAAGTCGCATTTACTTGGTCATATTGGTAACTAACATTGTTTCTTAAAAGTTTCTTGCAACAGAATAATGACTATAATTGAGATAAAACATTAAGACTTTGTAAGAATATGGCTTAGTATAGTTACTAGGAGCGTACTCTTAGGACATCGACTATACTCTTAGGACATCAACCGATCTTTTTTTTCACCCCCAAGACAAATAGTGGCCTCCTATATCCCAGCCCAGGGAGCTTTTTGGGAAAAGTTGCTTGTTTTATCTTTGACTCAGCCTGACTAGTTACATTGTCGATCATTTCTTCCAGACGACATTTATTTGTCAAATAATGTTGATTAGTTTGCTGATGAATGTTTCAGCAACGCTGGGGAACCCCTAGGGTAAGGGGTTCTACACCTGTTGACTCCATCCCCCACCCCCAGTGTGGTGTCTCTCTGCCGTGCTGTCTGCATTCTTCCCCTGTTCACTGTTTCTTCCTGACTCTCCTTCTTTGTTCATTATGTCTGATTTATATTATGGATTGGAAATAGAACAGAAAGATACACTCTCTCTATGAGACCAAAAAGTTTTATTTGAGATGGCTCTCCATTTCTCCCACGTCTCCCCTCACTTTCACTGTTTTTTTTTTATTTATTTTTATGTTTTTGCTACCTTCGCTAGAGAGTACATCCCCTCACTCTTGAGGTGGGCACTGATCAGTAGGAAATAAGATCAATACCTGGCTGATGATAATTTGGGGGGCAGATTGTTAGATAAAGGGGATGGCAGCAGATCTTTCCCCTTGTGACCCCTCCCCTCATTCCCAAATTATACCTCTAGAGTAGATAACTGCTCACCATTAAGAAGAGTTAATGGGGGCCGGGCACGGTGGCTCACGCCTGTAATCCCAGCACTTTGGGGGGCCGAGGCGGGTGGATCACAAGGTCAAGAGATTGAGACCATCCTGGTCAACATAGTGAAACCCTGTCTCTACTAAAAATAAAAAAATTAGCTGGGCATAGTGGTGCGTGCCTGTAATCCCAGCTACCCAGGAGGCTGAGGCAGGAGAATTGCCTGAACCCAGGAGGCGGAGGTTGTGGTGAGCCAAGATTGCGCCATTGTACTCCAGCCTGGGTAACAAGAGCGAAACTCCGTCTCAAAAAAAAAAAAAAGGAAGAGTTAATGGAAGGCATTTGAACTACACTCATCCCGTGGTATCCTCAGATGATTAGTTCCGGGACCCCCTTCCCCATACCAAAACCTGAGGATGTTCAGGTCCCTGATGGAAAATGGTATCATATTTGTATATAACCTGTGCATATGCTCCTGTATAATTTATGTCTGGATTACTTATACTTAATACAATATAAATAGTTGTTATATATGTTGTATTTTTAAAATTTTGTATTATTTTAAAATTTTTCTGAATATTTTCAATCCATGGCTGGTGAAGTCCTTAGATGCAGATTCTGCGGATACAGAGTGCTGATTTTACACAGGACCTTACCTGTAACTCACTGTGCCTATCAACAGCTGACTCAATTGGAAATAGAGTAAGGGAATCTCAGAGAAGGAGAGAGTTCTATCACAATGGATTCGATTAAACTTTAGTTCCTTATATAGTTTCTCTAGTTGTTTATGGTCCATTTTCTATTTAAGATGATTTTTACTTTTTTTTCTTAAAGGAGTTCCAAATGTGTTCTGGAACATTTTGAAAATAGAGCTTATCCACTGTGCAGATCCTAATAATCAAAGTACACGTTCAGTGTAATTTTATTTTTTCAGTATCTTTTTAAAAATTCTATTTTTCTTTCTCTTTGCACAGTAAATTTTGCATGAAACTTTAAAAGTACTTCTGGCATGTAAACGTTAATTTATAAAATAAGTCATGGTTGTAATCATTTTTCTCCTGCTTCCTTATGTATTTATTTCAGAAATGAGCCGTCAGACTGCTACAGCATTACCTACCGGTACCTCGAAGTGTCCACCATCCCAGAGGGTACCTGCCCTGACTGGCACGACTGCATCCAACAATGACTTGGCGAGTCTTTTTGAGTGTCCAGTCTGCTTTGACTATGTGTTACCACCCATTCTTCAATGTCAGAGTGGCCATCTTGTTTGTAGCAACTGTCGCCCAAAGCTCACATGTTGTCCAACTTGCCGGGGCCCGTTGGGATCCATTCGCAACTTGGCTATGGAGAAAGTGGCGAATTCAGTACTTTTCCCCTGTAAATATGCCTCTTCTGGATGTGAAATAACTCTGCCGCACACAGAAAAAGCAGACCATGAAGAGCTCTGTGAGTTTAGGCCTTATTCCTGTCCGTGCCCTGGTGCTTCCTGTAAATGGCAAGGCTCTCTGGATGCTGTAATGCCCCATCTGATGCATCAGCATAAGTCCATTACAACCCTACAGGGAGAGGATATAGTTTTCCTTGCTACAGACATTAATCTTCCTGGTGCTGTTGACTGGGTGATGATGCAGTCCTGTTTTGGCTTTCACTTCATGTTAGTCTTGGAGAAACAGGAAAAATACGATGGTCACCAGCAGTTCTTTGCAATCGTACAGCTGATAGGAACACGCAAGCAAGCTGAAAATTTTGCTTACCGACTTGAGCTAAATGGTCATAGGCGACGATTGACTTGGGAAGCAACTCCTCGATCTATTCATGAAGGAATTGCAACAGCCATTATGAATAGTGACTGTCTAGTCTTTGACACCAGCATTGCACAGCTTTTTGCAGAAAATGGCAATTTAGGCATCAATGTAACTATTTCCATGTGTTGAAATGGCAATCAAACATTTTGTGGCCAGTGTTTAAAACTTCAGTTTCACAGAAAATAAGGCACCCATCTGCCTGCCAATCTAAAACTCTTCTGGTAGGTGAAAGCTAGACACATGAAGGTAAATAAAAAGAAAGGCTGTTAAATACAGGAAACAGTTGCATGTAGTAACACTAATATATTTAAAAATAAGTCAACAGTAAACCACTGAAAAAATGTATGTATATACACCCAAGATGGGCATCTTTTGTATTAAAAAAGAAGAAAGCATTGTAAAATAATTCTGAGTTTTGTGTTTGTTGTAGATTGTATTGTTGAAAAATAATGGGGTTTTTGTTATGTTTCTGCGTGTGTGAGTGTGTGCGTGCGTGGGTGTGGGTGTGTTTGGGTTTTTTTCCTTTAACTGACAAGCCATCTTGAGTGGTCATGGGCCACTGCTTTTCCCCTTTGTGAGTCAATACATAGTGCTGCTGTGTGCTTTTTTGTGTGTGTATTTGCTAATTTTTATTAATTCTAGTTTTTCATTAAATAAATTTGACTTTCTTCTCTGTAATTCAGGTTTTTCCTCACTTTTTTTTGTACCATTTTAAAGTTAGTGTCTTTTGATATGCATAATTGTTTATGGCAAAATTTATAACATGCATTCAATACATACTTTTCCCCATTAATCAGTTCATTAGAAATATTTTAAAATCAGCTATTTTATGAAGCTATGAGTTCCAGAAAGTAAAGGTGACATCGGGAAAATTATCAAAAGCTATTTAAAGCATCTATAAGATGGTCTCTCTTTCTCTCTTCTACAGATGAGTCACACCTTTGAGCTTAATCTTTGAAAGGTTAGAGAATCAATTAATTCTTATAATGAAAATTGGGCTTTTGTTTCCTTTTTCAAATATCTTGGACAAATCATCTGTTTAAAATTTGTTCTTGTATTTATTGGTTTTGCAGAAGAAGGCATCGTCATGCACAGTATTTGTAATTAAAAGCAAATCATTTGTTTAAAAAGGCAGTTTGCAAAAAAAAATGTTTTTGGTCTTTTATAATTCTCATTAAAAGAATATCTGGCAAATTAAAAAAATCTTACTGTGTCTGCTTTAACTCTTAAGTTTGATAAAATCCAAACTTATTTTCCTGTTTCATTCTCTAATTATATAGCAGAAAGCTGTGTGTTGTCATTTTAAGTGTGATAGAGTTATATTCTAAATCACAGTAAATAACTGGGTATATGGCCTCTGGATTAGTCTCTTCCCCCCACCGCCCCCCATTTCGATTCTTACAACTTTTTCAGGAGAATGACTAAAATGGTGACCACTTTTCACCTCTTTAAGAAAGCACAATGAAAATAAATTTACTATTTCATAGCCTGATGGCTAAGAGCCTTGGTTCTGCAGGTGACTTCCAGGCACCTGGGTGCCAGTCTCAGCTCTACCTCACTTGGACCCAAGTTTCCTAATGTGTAAAGTGGGGTTAAATTATGGTAGATACCTCTAAAGTTTAAATGGGCTACAGGTGCGTTACCGAAACACTGCTTTGTTTATATCAGCATCCAGTGAATGTTAGCTACAGTTAACGCCTTTAGAACCATGTAGTTAACTGTTGCTAATTACTTTGACGCACATGGCAAGATTCTGAAGTTGCCTTCTGAATGTTCAAAGATAATTTTGTGTGGTTCTGCGGGTACTCTAAGCCTAGAAAGTCAATGAAAATTAATTTGGACTTCACCCTTATACCACTACTGATTCTGGATAATTTTGGATAAGAGTTTATTTCTTCTGTCCATTTTCAGAAAAGATGATTGTGTAGTCTCTTTCCTACATAAGTATTACCTTTTGAACTGGTTATAATGTGCTTGTGTAGCCATTTTTATGGTGAAAGAGTAAGAGTTCCACCGCAAATTCATATCCAGGTCTGTTCATTAGTATGTGTGCTTAGAAAAAGTGACTTTTATTCCATATTTAATTTTACATGGTGAAAAGGTTACATAATAATACATAAAAGGGCTCCCAATATCTTTCAAAATAAACATGGCTGTGCACTGTGGCTCATGCCTGTAATTCCAGCTCTTTGGGAGGCCAAGGCAGGCAGATCACTTAAGGTCAGGAGTTCAAGACCAGCCTGGCCAACATGATGAAACCTTGTCTCTACTAAAAGTACAAAAATAATTAGCTGGGTATGATGGCACACCCTATTAGGGAGACTGAGGCACAAGAATCCCTTGAACAACCCAGGAAGTGGAGGTTGCAGCAAGTCAAGATTGTATACCACACCTGCAGCCTGTGTGGTGGAGTGAGACTCATCTCCCCCACCTCCCCCCCCCCCAAAAAAAAAACGTATTGGGTATATTTGTGGAGGCGTATCATTTTGTAGTTTTCATTTCTTCTTCTTCTTCTTTTTTTTTTTTTTTTTTTTTTTTTAGTATTCCCATATTTCTTTTTTTTTTTTTTTTTATTGCATTTTAGGTTTTGGGGTACATGTGGTGAACATGCAAGATTGTTGCATAGGTACACACATGGCAGTGTGCTTTGCTGCCTTCCTTCCCCTCACCTGTATCTGTCATTTCTCCCCATGCTATCTCTTCCCACCTCCCCACCCTCTTTTTTTTTTTTTAAGACAGGGTCTCTCTCTGTTGCCCAGGCTGGAGTACAGTGGTGTGATCTCAGCTCACTGTAACCTCCACTTCCCAGGTTCAAGTGATTCTCCTGCCTCAGCCTCCCAAATAGCTGGGATTACAGGCACTTGCCACCATGCCCAGCTAATTTTTGTATTTTTAGTAGAGATGGGGTTTGACCATGTTGGTACGGCTGGTCTTGAACTCCTAACCTTGTGATCTGCCCACCTCGGCCTCACAGTGCTGAAATTACAGGTGTGAGCCACTGCACCTGGCCTAGTTTTAGTATTTTAAAGTTTTTTATTATAAAATATGTCCATCATGTATACTTTGGATATTACAAAACTGCACATAGAATCGGATTGATCTGTAATCTTACTGTCCACTCAGAAGTGACATTTTTCCAGTTTTTTAAGTGTATGTACATGTGCTCATCCACGTTTGTTTTTTAGAGACAGGGTGTGTTACTCTGTCACCCAGGCTGGAATATAATGGTACAGTTGGCTCACTGCAGCCTCAAACTTTGGGCTCAATTGACCCCACCTCAATCTTCTGAGTAGCTAGGAGTTCAAGTGTGTAGCGTCATGCCTGGCTAACTGAATTTTTTTTGTAGAGATGGAATCTTGCTATGTTGCCCAGGGAAGTCTCAAAACTCTTGAGGCTCAAGTGATCCTCCTGCCTTGCCCTCCTAAATTGCTGAGATTACAGGTATGAGACACCAGTTCCAGCCACATGTTTATTTTGAAAGATATTGGGAGCTGTTTTATGTATTATGTAGCCCTTTCACCATACAACATGATTATTTGAGTGTTTCACCTCTTTAGTGATCTTGAAAAAACACAATTTTTCAAATTTATGAGGATTCACTGTAAGTTTAGCTGGGTTCTTGTTGGATATTTACGTGGCAGTTATTTTTTTATATGGAGTGTTGCTGTGTCACCAAGCTGGAGTACAATGGTGCCATCTTGGCTCACTACAACCTCTGCCTCCCGGGTTCAATTCCACTGTTTCAGCCTCCCGAGTAACTGGGACTACAGGTGTGCACCATCATCCCCGGCTAATTTTAGAAGAGATGGGGTTTCATCATGTTGGCCAGGCTGGTCTTGAACTTCTGACCTCATGATCCACCCGCTCGGCCTCCCCAAGTGCTGAGATTACAGGTGTGAGCCACTGCACCTGGCCCTGGTTATTTATAAACAACTCATGAACATATCTCTCTGTTTTCTGTTTATATTCTTAGGATTATTTTTGACATACTTTATTATTGCTTTCTGGAGAGGTTCCAGAGGACAGCAGTAGCAGTGTGAAATTTTCCATTTCATTTTCACCTCGTTTTACTAATTTAAACAAATTAAGGTAGTACATTTTGTGTTTGACAGTTAACTTGACATCTTAGTATTAACTATTTGCATTTAAGTCTTTATATTCTTTGGCCTATAGAGATAAGGCCAAGAATACAGCCATATTTCTTGGTCCATTACACATTTGATTATGAGGCATAATGCTTGTCCTTAAATTGCTTGTTATAATGAAGACTTACTCCATTTCTTGTGGTGTCTTCTTTCAGGAGGTTGTACATGGGGTAGGTATGGGAGACACTCATTAACTTCGTTGTTTCTTTTATGCCCTTAAAGTTGAAATTGTCCTGTTGAATCATGGGCCAGTTTGGTGTGTTACTTGTTGGGGAACAGTTTTTCCTTTGACTGTAATTTTTATTGTGATATGTATGATTTTTTTCAAGACCCACATTTTTGTAGACTTCAAACTTACATAAGTGACTGTAGCTTGGCTCACCAAAATAATAGTGTGTTGCCTACAACCCCCAAAAGCTCTTCATATTCAGGAACATCTGCAGTGATTCTACTAATGTTGGAATTCTGTTTCATTCACACTCCTGATTGAAGAATTCGTAAGTAATCCAAATTAAGAAAACAGTAGGTCAAATTCAACATACCTGTGGGGTGAGTCTGACTGCTGCATTAGAATGGACATAAAAGTAATGTTGGAGCTCGACAGGGTGAATAGTGTGTGTGAACACCATGCAAGGCTGTGGTCATTTGTGTAGGTTAAACATGAAAGGTATGGACAGAGTGTTACAGTCCTGGGGTTTGAAGCTGTCATTCCCCTCCCCATTCACCCAGTGTGCATGTTCAAAACACAGAGGATTATATGGTATTTTACTGCTTACGATCCTAAACTGGATTTACCAAAATAAATTTACTTATCTAAAAATGGCACCATCCAAACAAAATTTGTCATCAAGCATCTACTGAGATTTAGTGGCCAACTGTGGGCTGTGGATTCTAACTGCCTGGGTTGACTTCTGACCCTGTATCTACCAGTTTTTATTTAAATACGGTCTCTGCCTGGTCCCTCCGTAAAAGGGTATGGTGTCCACTGCGTGAGGGAATGGGGAAGGCTAGATATGCTATAAAGTGCTTATTATGCCTGCCTGGCACGATACCCCAGTGTCTTGCTGAAACAAACATTTTCCATATCCTTATATAGCTCTAAGAAATTTCTTTGACAAATACATTTTATTATCATAGATGTAATTTTCTTAGGCCTTTCTCAATTCTGAAAAGCATAACAGGTTTGCAGATATAAATAATGGAATGAAAGGATACCTGGTTTTGGGGTCACATTTTGACACTGTCATGTCATTTGGCACTGCCACGTCGGGATGAGGATTTAGCCTAAAAAGTTTGTATTGCCTAGAAATGGGCTGACAATATTAGAGTTGAACTTACTATTTAATACAAAAGATTTTATTAAGCCCAAAAAATGTTAAACAAACACATTGAATATTCTTTAGTTCATTAAGTACAAACTATAGTATGTTCCAAAGAAGTGAATTTTTATGGCAAATAAAGCCTAGAATTGTTTTAGAAGTTCTTTAGTCATACCTTTTAAAACATCTCAATGACCCCCGCCAGATCAGACCCTTTTGATATTTCCTTCTTCTTAAAGCATTTTTTAAGTGCAGTTTTCATTGTGGGATCCACCAAATGTTAGTAAAACAAATGAGCATTAGTGTTGGACCATAAGTCATCAAATTGGATGACAGACTAACTGTAGTCTTTTTTTTTTTTTAAGCTGCTGGATACAATTTTCATGGTGATAGGAGCTGAAGTACTTCTCATTTTGGCCAAAATGTGAGTTTAAACATGTAGTTCATTAAAACAACAAAAACTACTTGATGTTTACATCTAATAATCCTGGTTAAAATAAATTTTAGATTTGGAAAGGGAATTGGCAAAACTAACATTCTTTGTAGCAAAATGTCCCTTAAAATAGTCAAGTTGATTTCATTAGTTCATAAAGGAAAATGCAAAGCCCTCAGCAGTGAATTACCTGACATCATTGATTTCGGTCACTGTAAATGTGGACCAGTCGCCTATAACTGGAAGCTCATGGTGGTAGACATCAGTATCACATTACTTTATGGCCACGGATTTCTCAACTGACGT